CAAAAAGGGCCTTGCACACAGTAAATGCTCAATAACTAAATACAGGGTGTCCATAAAGTTTGTAATTTTAAAAAGTTTTTCATTGTGGCTGGGTGTGGTGGCTCACGCCTGTAATCCTAACACCCTGGGAAGCTGAGGCAGGTGGATTGCTTGAGCTCCGAGTTTGAGACCAGCCTGAGCAACAGCAAGACTCCATCTCTACTAAAAAAATAGAAAAACTGAGGCAAGAGGATCACTTGAGCCCCAGTTGGAGGTTGCTTGGAGGATCACTTGGAGGCCCTCTGACATCATGGCATTCTACCCAGGGGGACAGCTTGAGACTCTGTCTCAAAAATGTAAATTGTACATGTAATTGTAAATTGCACGTGAACTTTATGGACACCTGTTTTTTGTTTGTTTGTTTGTTTGACAGAATCTCTCACTTTATCGCCCTCGGTAGAGTGCCGTTGTGTCACAGCTCACAGCAACCTCCAACCTCCAACTCCTGGGCTTAGGCAATTCTCTTGCCTCAGTCTCCCGAGTACCTGGGACTACAGGCACCTGCCACAACGCCCGGCTATTTTTGTTGTTGTTGTTTAGAGACAGATTCTCACTTTGTCTCTCTTGGTGGAGTGCTATGGCATCATAGCTCACAGCAACCTCCAGCTCTTGGGCTTAGTAGATTCTCTTACCTCAGCCTCCCAAGTAGCTAGGATTATAGGCACCTCCCACAAGGCCCAGCTATTTTCTTGTTGCAGTTTGGGAACAAGAAATTTGAACCCACCACCCTCAGTACATGGGGCTGGAGCCCTACTCTTGAGCCACAGGCGCTGCCCACACCTGGCCCTTTTTTTTTTTTTCTTTTTTTTTTTTTGGCTGGAGCTGGGTTTGAACCTCTGGTATATGGGGCTGGAGCCCTACTCCTTTGAGCCACAGGTGCCGCCTGATGCTTGGCTAGTTTTTTGTTGCAGTTTGGCCAGGGCTGGGTTCAAACCTGCCACTCTCGGTATATGGGGCAGGCACCCTACCCACTGAACCACAGGCGCCGCCCACCCCCTGGTATTAAGGAGCTGTATGATGCCCATATGTTCATGTGGAGAAGAAAAGCTGGAAGGATGCAGTCTCTTGACCTCTTCACCCTCAACCTCTCCAGGGCGCAGTTTCTTTCTCTGGATTGTGGAACGCACACTACTCTCCCTCACTGAGACCATGGTGAGGCTGGAAAGGGAGGTGGCACTTGCCTGCCCCTGCCCAATTTCTCCTGTTGAGGTATCTTTGTCCTTGTCCGAAGATATGGAAATAATCTACTATCCAGCCATCTCTTCCTGTGCCACAGTGATCCTGCAAGTGAGGAAGAAAACACAGAAGACTCTTAGCCACCATGCTGAGGGGAGCACAGCGCAAACTCCCCTCAGCTGTTTGGGGAGAGGGAGAAGAGTCAGAGCCTAACAGCTCGATATTACTAGGCAGATACACTAAATATGCCTAGTAGCTTGGTGGGTAAGGGCTCAGACTGATGCCAGACAGACTAGGTTCTAATTCTAGCTCAGCCCTCAATAAACTCTGTGCCCTTGAGCCAATTACACAGATTTTCTGGGCCTCAATTTCTTCATCAATGAAAGGAGCAGTACTGTGAGATTTAAGTGACATAGTAAAGGGCCTGGCAGAGTAAAGGTTTAATAAACATCTTTATCTAAGTGAAAACACCTACCACAAAAGGTGGTTTTAATGATTAAAGAATACTTAAAAATTAAACTAAGTTAAAATATGTGCACACACTATTTCAAGTTTTTTGTTTTTTTTTTGAGACAGAGCCTCAAGCTGTCCCCCTGGGTAGAGTGCTTTGGCATCACAGCTCACAGCAACCTCCAACTCCTGGGCTCAAGTGAGTCTCCTGCCTCTGCCTCCCAAGTAGCTGGGACCACAGGTGGCT